ACAGTCTGAACCATTCAGTCGACTGGTTGAACCAGTGACCCACGACCTAGAGCGTAACGCATGGCATTGAGACAAATTCAGAGCGTAACGAATTGTTCTAGCCAGGATTTTACTTATAGAGACCCTCAAATTGTTCAAGCATTTTCTACAGAGAAATGCCTTTCTCAGTTTTAAAACACTCTTTTTGGTTAAGCCACTTGGAAAACACCTGAATTTGACCGTTTGCATTATTATTAGAAAGCAGTGCCACCATCTAAAAAAACGACAGCATTTCTTGTCTGGAGACAAGGAGGGAGGATTAGTGTTCTTGCCTGTTTGCCCATCACATTTGATGTAGGCTTTTTACCCATATCCGGCTATTATTTGCTACTTCAAGAAGATAATATTTAATTAAAAACATTTTTTAATTATATCTATTTTAACTTTTTTAGTGTGTTGGGCAGTTGAGAAAAAAATGTTATAAATACAAATACTCAATGAATGAGTGATAAAATAGGGATATGAAATGGGATCGGATGGGTTATTCTAATTCCAATTATTTGGTTGGGCAGAATTTGAATCCCATTCTCATTTCTGATGGAATGGCATTTTTCATTTGAGGGAACGAAGATTCTCTTTTCCATCCTTTGGGAATGAAATCCCATTCCAACTCACTTCAATGTTCATTAAGATAACTATCTAAACTAAACAAACTATGGGAATAGACCATTCTGATTCTAATTTTGACAGATTTTGATTCTAATTCGGATTCCAATACCGACTACTAATCAAGCAGACCCGAAATGATAAGGTGAAACTTAGGAATGACTCCAATAGGTGATAAAATAAGAGAAAGTAGATTGAAATGATTTGGTCAAATGCATCATTATAGAAGACTATATACAACAACTATTAGAAAAAGTGGTCTATTACTTGTGGAAGGCAAGTTGGGGGCAGACCAAAAAGAACTTGGGTGGAATAAATAATAAATGATTTAAGCGCCGATAATTTAACAATGGATATGGTAGTAGGCGTGTCAATGATACCCAAAAATCAGAGGCCCAATCTGGCATCCAATCCGATTCTCATATTTGGATTATGTATTTATGTAATTAGTTCAGATCCAGATGTTACAATATACATTTAATTAATAATTGGATCGAATTCGGATTTGACCCCATCCGTTCCAACTAAAATCTAAATATGATCATATTATAATATTTATTAATTTTAATATATAAATTCTATATATTGAAAATTATACAAATATATTTACATATTATATTATATGAATTTTTATATACAATAAACTTTAAATTTGATCGGATTTTGGCTGATGTAGGTTCTTAATATTCGGATCAAATGCTGAATTTGTTGCATCCAATCCAATTATAGCTCTATATTGCAGTAAAGAGAATGGAATGGTGAAACAGGACTCATATAGCCACCCATATAATTGGGATAAGGCAACATGATAATGATGATAATATATATATATATATATATATATATATATATATATATATTTTAATTTATTTATAGTTGTGTATCCTCCTTAACTTGCAATGTAAACCTTACAAATGTATGGATGTTGTGGCATGAGTCTAACAAGTCAAATACATTTTTTTTGGAAAATGACTTGCAGAAAATTAAGGAATGCTATTTTTTTTACAAATTTTTGAAAATTATGTGCTATGCATGTGTATGTATTTTTGTATATCTTATGGAGATATCATGTTAAATAATGATACAAATGATGCTTTATGCTTAACTCTTGTTGGCTTATTAGGTTTTCCATAGTCTTATGGGTTAGTGATAAGTTACAACATGGGAACTTGCCTTTCCACGGTTTGAAACCATGCCTCTTCAATACGGGGGATTGCTTACCAGTCCGGACTGGTGTCAATGGCCAAAATCAAATTGAACGGATTGGACGGATCAAAAAGATATAGTGGATTGGATCAGTTCGGTCCAAAATATTTATTAGATTGGATCGGACCTGGTCCCTTCGTAAAAAATTTATATCGGATTTGGTTGGATTAAGCCAATATCTGGTCTACTAATATAAGATAAGAATATAGGTGTCAATGGACCGGGTTTGTGTTAAAATCAATCTAAATTAAAATGAATTTGAACAAATTGGACAGTCCAAAATGGTTCAAATCATTCATTGGATTGGATTGGACATGGTCCATTTGTAATTGACTCACATTGGAGTAGATCAGGTTGGACCAAATCTAGTCTAATCAACACCCCTACAGACTGGTTGACTTGAGAATTGGTCATGGCTCTGGATCTAGTTTTAGATAAAAAAACTGTCTGGCTAGAGTTCGGATTGGACGATTGGACCATTTTTACCGGGAAACAGTGGGCAAAGCGGTTCTGTTTCCTGGTTGGTTTTTAAAACTATTTATTTGAGGAACAATAATTTCTTGTTCGTAATGTGGTTAGAGGTATAAATCGGGCCAACCAGCCAGACCTGGCACGACAGCCCACGGGCCATGCTAAGCCCGACACTATGGTCCATGCCATGTTGGGCCGGGGGTTTGAGGTCCACGGGCTGGCACAGCATGACACGAACAGCCTGCGGTCCGCATGTCGACATAGCCCGTCATGGGCGGACACGACACGACCCGTAGGGCTCGTAGCGGGTCACGCTCGGCCCACCCGAAAACTAGCCGTTGGGCCCCCCCTTAAGGCCCAAGTCCCCCCAACGGTTAGTTTCATCTTTTGGGTTTTTTTTTTTACATAAATACCCCCCTAACAGCTAAAAAAACTACATGGGGGGTATTTATGTATTTTTCTTATGAAGGGGAGAAAAATGACACAATTGCCCCCCAACAGTTATATAACAACTAGTATAGGGGAGGCTTTTTGGGTAAAGTTATAAATAACTTTACAATAACCAAAATACCCCTCCTAACAACTAAAAAATAGTTAGCTTTTAGGGTATTTTGGGTAATTGAATTATTTTCAATTTCTATAAATAGCCCTATGGCCCCTATCCTCCACCATTCTTCTCATCACATCAATTCAACAATCAACATTCATCAATTCTCTTATTCTCTTAATCTCTTCAGTCTTCCCTCTCTCAGACTCTCTAAGTCTCAATCTCTTATACATTCTCTGCAATTTGAGTGAAATCTGATAGTCTCAATGTCTCATAGTCTAATTGGCTAATTGTCTGATTCTCCAAGTTAGCAATTTGGGAGGCTTGAAGCCTTGGACGTTGTCACGTTGAAAAGCTTTAACCATTGAAAAATTAAGTTGGGATTCTGAACTGGCAATCTGAGATAAGTCCAATTAAATTAATTTTATTTTTTTAGAATTAAAAAAAAGGCCAGCTCTTCCCAAAACTCCAAGTTTAGTAACCCAATTTTGAAAATATTTAAAATAGAGGATGTTGAGGGGAAGGGGAAAAGAGTAGTTTGCCAAAAATGTAGAAAAGACTTTAGATATTGTAGCAAAGGTGGTACTGGCCATTTGACCAAACATTTTCTCACACATGAAAAGGAAGAAGAAATAACCCACAATTTAAATGAATTATTGAAATAATGGAAAATAAATTTTAAAAATATTGGGAGAAGTCGAAGAGAACATTTCTTGCCACCAATCCTGCCATGGAACGTGATCCGTGATCTAATAACCCCTCTGGTGTTTATAGGCTACAATTCCATCGAAGTCTTGTTTAGTTGTTTTAGTGCAGGTCCCTGCAGGTACCATTGTACCAAGGTTGGCTAGATGCAGTCATGAATCATGATGCAGAATATAGATTACAACTTTACAATTACAAGACAAAGGAGGGCATGATACTACTACATATACTAGATATTTCACCTGAAGCAAATGATGAAAGTGTGAATGCTTTCATCATAATGTATATGTAATTTTTGTTTAAATTGTAAATTTTAACAAATAACCCACAATTTTTTATTTTTTTTTCAAATTATTGTAAATTTTGTTTTAATTTTATTTAATTTATTTTCTATTAGTATAATTTTGTATTTTCAATTTGTAACTATCTTGTATTTTTTATATTTTATTAATTTATTCCATTTTCATATTTCATTCATCCAAGTATGAAGTATGAAGTATCCAACTATTGTATATTTCAATATTTGTATGCTTTGTAGTTTGTATCATTATTCATTCAAATTTAAATGAAATGAAATGCCTATTTCAATTTTTTTATACTTTTATTTATTTATTTTTTGGGTAATCGTAAATTCGTAATCCATAACCATATCCATATGACTATATCCATTCAATCTAGCTTGGTTCAGCCCAGGCCTAAGGCCCGCCCTATGGCCCAGCCCAGCCCAGCCCAAGCCCGCGACATGGCCTACAGCCCGGCTCGGCCCAGGCCCGCGGCACGGCACGGGTCCACAAGGGCCTGGACTGTGGACCGTGCCGGGCCGACCCCCAGAATTTTCATCGGGGAGTGCGGCATGGCCTATGACGGCCTGCACTTCGCGTGGACCGCCCATGGGCCATGCTGTGTCGACCCGACACGACCCACTTTACACCTCTAAATGTGGTGTGTAAATATAAACCATGTTTGGCACTTGAAATTGAGGCAAATTGGGCTTAGAAGAAAAACATGGGCCTGGGCCTAGGCCTAGGTACTTCTCATCGAACAAACCCAAGTAATTTAGAAGTAACGTGTTCAAACTTGTTTCGTGACGCCACTGAAGTTTAACCATTCACTTGGTTCTATTTCTATGTGATGCTTGCAGTAAGGTTATCCATGGCGATAACCCCCCACAATTGATCGAGAAAAGAACACTCGTAAACCAATCACTTTGCATCATTTGAACCAAGTCTTTGTTTACAATCACATTATATTTTCTTTATTAATTAGCAGCCATGGCTGCATGAAGTCCATTAATTATGGCCCCATTTGGCATGTCTTTTTGTGCAGGTTGTTGTCTTTTTAGAAGCTTGGCAGCCTATATTTTCGTTTTTTTCCGTTTGGTTGGAAAAAAATCTAGCTTCTGAATATCATAACCTCAAAAAAATGTGGGAAGTCCGTTTTGGATCACTTTGAAAAAACGCCTTAACCAAATGGTCTTTAAGGTGTTAAGATCTTAATACAAAAGATCACATTATCTTTTAACTGTCAAATCTATCAGAAGATCTAAAAAACACTTGCGAAACAGCCTCCATGAGAATGCGTCAAACGTACAATTAAGGCTGGCTTGTTATATCATCACCAATGTCCCGGACAACCATCATTGATGGGAACACGATGGCAGCCAATGGTTTGTTCTCTTGTCCACCACTTTCATCGATGATCAGCCTAAGGCCATTAAGCTCAAGCTTTCCATGGTGGCCGCTTACTACCACTATTGGTGTTGGACAATCAACTAATTCCTGCAACTTAAAACATGAAACCTCCAAGCATTAATTCATATCCCAAGCAAGAAGAGTCACCCCTTTCATCAAAACGTAGCCCAATCAAAGAAAAACCAACAAAGCTAGCTACAACCTGTGGGATATCTAGAACATTGCTCCTCCCAGTGAGAGCAACGATCTTAGGTTGGCTTGTGTCCCTGGTTCTCAAAAGCTTGATGAGCTGTTCTGGGACTCCTTTCGTTTTCTCCAAACCTGCATAAACAGCTATCAATTTGCAGTGTTTTCTTCCTTCTGAAGTCTCAATGCAGACATCATCCTGTAAAGTAAATAGCAATCAACAATCTCTACTCAGCTATATATATATATTCAAAAGACCCGCGGAGGGGGAGTAACCTCTTCATGGATTCAAACCAATTCAAGGAACTTCTTGTGTTCTTCGGGTACAGTTTTAACCAAGTCTGTAGAAATAGACGGAGTAATTGGTTAATTTCATTTGCACTGGTGTAAAATGCAGAGAATTCCAAATAGACTGAGTGCAAATTCTAATTTACTTTTGTTTGCGAGAAGTAAAATGATTGGGAGTAGGATAGGATGGTGGTGATCATTTCCAATCCTGTCCAACCGGTTCGAAAATTTTCAGGCTAGGGTCTCGGTTTTCTCTGCAGGCACAGTATGTAATATATTAATGTATCACATATGTGATATTTTATATTCATGTAAATTATAACATATATAATATGTCATATAGTATATTAAATATAACCATTTAGTGATATAGGCCCAAACCCTGGCCCTAGCCTGTCTCAAAAACCAAACTGAACTGAGAAAAAGCCAAATAAAAAATGTGGTTAATCATATAATTTTATGTATATCATATATCATATTTATTAATTATATATAATTATATATTTATAATATATTATAAATATAAAAAACTAAAAGATAAAGAATCGATAAAAAATCAAAACTAGTGATACCTACCCTGTGGGGGTACCCTTACTGCATTGGGCTGGGGCTATAGCCCTAATCATAGATGCTAAGCTTAGCTTGAACCCAACCCAGCCCATAATTACCCCTAGTGTGATAAAAATGATGTGATTCACACTTTATAAATGACAAGAAAAATAAGGTGGGAGGAAGGTGGTGAAAAATCTTTTTATCAAAATAAAGTGATAAATTTTGTATCAATTATTTTAGATGCAAAATTTATACAAAATAAAAGTGCAAATTACAATCACAAACAAATAGAGGCAAAACTGATCGAACCGGGTAGAGAGACACACCTGTAGAACCATGGGGAACCCCATAAGACTGGAATGTGGGTGCAGAGTCAAAGATGGAACCCTTGCAGTCTGGAAAATCAACGGAGCCACCCTAGAGTCTCTCTTGAATATGCATGTTTTCATACCCAGCTCCCTTATACCACCCTTCTGCTCGAACCCCTTCCACGTCTCGGCGAACGTTGATCTATCGGGCGGTGGAGGGAGCACCCCTATAAAAGTAGCGAAGGCGAGGTCATGATTCCCAGAGATAGAGACATGGGTTTGCTTCGGATACCTGGAAGGGAGTGAGATCAAGAAGTCGATCACACTTCGAGTATCGGGGCCTCGGTCGCAGTAGTCGCCCAAGAAGATGATCAGCGCGGTCTGGAATGAAGGTGGGCCGATTACGATTTCGAGATTGGACCCGAGCTTCTGGAGCCTCGAGATATGGCCATGGAGGTCGCCTATGCAGCAGACTATCCTCTCGTTCGTGGAGACTTGTGGTTCTGTTCTGTTGGTCTCTCTTCCTCTACCATTTTCAGAGGTTCGTGTGAAAGCTCCAAACTACGAACAAGAAGCTCAAACGCCAAACCGATCAATCTGATCGGTTGTTATTTGTTAATACCAGCAGTGTGATCAAAGTACTGATAAAGGAAGGTGGGAAAAACCAAAAGTGGAGGCTCCGCCTATCTGGAAGAGCCACTTGGAGGAGTTTCATTGGTGTCTCCACAAAAAGTTGTTCAGATTTCAGAATGAAAAAGAAATGGAAAGGCATGATTGGAATAGTGAGGGGTTTTGACTTTTGACCGATTAAAGCCACCCCCCTTTTCGGCCTTTCCCAATGAATTTGATCAATAACCACCAGTTTGATTGGTTCGATGGAAAAAGAAAATAACAGAAAATTGAGGGGGAAAAGTTATTAAAGAATTACGTGAAATTCCTCCACAACTTTTCTGTTTCTATTATATCCTGGCAAACCAAACACTGCATTAAGGGGGAAAAAATAACCGAGCAATAAAACTTGCACCTTCCGCAAGGGAGATTGATAACTAGGGGGCATTTGGTGTTTTACAATAATAATGTTTTTTTATTTGCTTTTGAAATTGCAACAATAGCATAAAAAACAAAARTATGTTTTTTAATTAAGCTTTTTGTTTTGAAAAGGTTTGGAAATTTTTGTGTATCCAATCCATCCTGATCCTAATACAGCCCGTTTATCAAAATCGGATTTGGGATGAGTTTGAATTTTGACCTTATAATACTCAATACCACCGAACTTGATTATAATAATTGTCTTATGTCATCATTCTTTGTAATGTCAAATATTATAATTATATATGTTAATTCTTTTTTGAATGTTGTTGATTGATAATGAATATATTGAAACTTTACTATATATGTTGGGTGCTGATTGACAAGGAGTGAGGAATGAGCAAAATTTTTTGGGAGAATGACTGTTCAGCCCACTATCAGAATTCTTAATCCCACCGTACAGTTGAGATAGGTGCTAGCTTGGAATTGATGCCAATACATTGGTGGGTATTAGTGTTTAGGGTGGGGTGTTTGACATTTTGAATTGTTGTAGGTTTGTAGTAGGGTGTAGTGTACTTTCCTGAATTTTTTTTTTGGTTTTTAATGATTTGTTGGTACTACTTGATAGTTGACACTACCAATTTAAACCCATCAAATTAAACAATACTTGGGTGGAACGGGTTGTTATAGGTTTAACATGATTAAATGATAAATGGGTAAGATGTGTCATGGCGAATTTGGGAAATTGGGAGAACAAAAATTAAATGGGAAGAACAATTTTCATGAGTAACCTACCCATTACCTACATGTTTTTTAGACCATCAAAATGATGGTTTTTAAAACAAAAATAAATTTTGTAGTATAAAAACTATATAATTTATGGAACATGATATTAAATAATCAAATAAAAACATTTTCTTTAAACTAAAAAAATTCAAGAAAAATTCTCAAAAAAAGATCAAGAGAATATTTATGGTTGTAGTTTTGAAAAAATAATAGACAACTAAGGTGGTGCTTGATAAATCGAAAATCGAAAATCTAAAAATTTAAAAAGATATTAAAAATGTCTGAAATCTGAAAAGAGACAAATGCTTTTCGACTTTTTAGAGGCTGAATAGAGAACGTTGTTTATGTTGGATCAAACCTTCAACATCTGAAATTTCCTAATTTTACTATTTTACCCATAAAACAAACTATTTGGTAATTTTGAGTTCAATTTGTACTATTTCATAAAAAATAATTTATTAAATTCAAAATAATATAAAAAATATAAATAAATTATAAAAAATAATTTATTAAAATAAGAATAAAATTGAAAATACATATAAATTTATAAATTAAAGATAAATTATTAAAAGTTAAAATAATAATGAAAATAGTAATAAAGTCCATGAAGCAATAAAAA